AAGGAGATCCTCCAGCGAGTCCCAGTCCCTCAACCCCTGCGCCTCCACCATCTCCGCCATCGACGCCCTGAAATCGCTCACCGGATCTCGGGAATCCACCGCCACCAGCGCCGCGTGAGCGGCGGCAGCGGATTTGGACCCGCCGAGGATGGAGCTCGTCTCGCCGGGATCGAAGAACAGCCGCTCGGACCTCAGGCCTCCGAACACTGCCGACTCGTCGATCTCCGGCAGATGCTCTACGGCGGCGTCAAGGGAGCCGGGGGGGCTATCTCCGCGGCGGATGCTGAAGTACGAGTCGGCGGTCTCCGAAAGAGTCGACGCCGACGCGTTCCGGTCGTCGAGGAAGGCCGAGTTCATGGTCTTGAGGACGTCGCCGGCGGCGGGGCTCGTGCGGAAGGAGAGGGTTTTGGGGTCGTTGGTGCAGGCCGGCCACGGCCACGCGGCGGCGGTGCCCGGCGATTTGAACAGAAATGGGAATTTCATTTTTCTGCCCATTTTTTGTTTGTGTTTTGGGGAAATAAAGAATGTAAGGGAAATATAATGTAATAATAATAATAATATTGTTAATATTGTTTTTTTTTTATATATATTTGGTTAATTTGAAGTGAAAAATTGTTGATTTGGGGGCATTAAAGGGTGTGGGAAGAGGAGTTTGTACAATGAATGGCGGATTTTAAAGAGGGGGTGGTGAGTGAATGGTGGTGGGACTTGGGAGGCAAATAATTCATTTTTATATTATTATTCGGGAAATGTTATGGTTTCGTTATGGAACCGTTTCGTTGGAGTTTGTAACTTTTAGATTAATTATCCATGACAATTACATTATGTTCTAATGGTTACAAACTCTGACGAAATAGTTCTTTAACGGAATGTAGGATTTTCCCAATTATTTCATGATATTTTGACATTGTTTCAATTTTTCCGTACACGTAGGACATGGAAACGGGACATGTGGAATAAAACAAAACTACAAAAGACAAAAAATAAAAACTTCCCAAAAATATTCAGTCAAATAAAGTAATTTTTAAGCCTTAATTTAGCTTTTACCTATTTTTTTAATCTTTAGGTTATTTACTAAATACATACTCCATTCACTTATATAACTGTTAATTCCACACAAAAATTACAATAATAATCAGTTTATATATTAGCTAATGTTATCAAATCTTATTTCTAATAAATATTTTATATTTTTTATGTTTTAATGATTTTCAACTTTTCCTTCTCTTTCTATTTCGTATTAAAAGTGTCCTTTTAGGTTGCAGTATATAATTTGGATTACTTATCATTTTATAATATACGTCCAATTATATTTATAATATAATAAATCTTAAAAAAATGGAAAGATAGTAATCAAATTATAGTAAATCGAGAAAAGAATGGAGCAATTAGTAGAAAATTAATATAATTATAAAAAATCTGATATAGATTAAATTCTCATTTGTTTAAACAATATTTCTTTATAAAAGGAAATATTATGTTTTGGTTATTCACTTTTTGTTTTATTAATGAAAAGATTTGTATACCATATATGATTTATTAGGTTACATTACATTATAAAAATAACTTTCTAATCATAATTAATCCACAAATTTTCTTATATGAATACATATATAATTATTTGTTAATCTCATTGTTATAATCTTGGACAAAAGCAGAATGTTTTTGTATGTAAACTTATTAATTTAGGGAACCTTCTGCAGTTACATCCACAAAATAAGGTAATTAGTTAATTCACAAATCTCATTGGGATTTTGCTAATCCGTGATTTGTTACTGCAATTTTTTACCTTTGTACATTTTTCTTCACTTTTAATTAATCTCGTCAGACCGTTTTGCTATGAAGCCAACAGTTGACTCCATAATAGAATCAACCTTCTATATACAACATATAAACCTACCATATTAATAAAATCATATTACTGTTATAATATTTAAGTAATCCGAGAATATGGTAGGTTTACTTGTTGTATGTAGAAGGTTGGCTCCACTATGAGGTAAACTGTTGGCTTCATCTTCTTATCAGAATCCCCTTATATATTACTATAGAACGAGCATAAGTGGCAGGCTCGCTTCGGGATACTATGTAGCAAAATTACAAGCTTAGTTATTAGGTTTGAGTATATTACTAGTACAACGCCCATGTATTACACGGGTGCTTGCTAATATTTTTCTTAAAATATAAAATTAAGGAGAAAAAGTAGTTGAAAATTTAAATACCTTTTATTAAAATATATATTATTATATATATAGTATGACACTTTTTATTTGTGTGACTTACTTTTCTTATATTATAATAATTATTTTAACTTACAACATATAACTACATTAAACATAAATATATGAAATAATTTTATTTTTCTAATAAATTTTAATAAATATTATTATTTTTTATTATTATAAAGATAAATATAATTTATTTATTTTATATATACAATATGGATATCAAATCGAATATCATGAAAAGATGATTAATTTGATATATTATATATGTAAAACCGATAAGAAATACAAAAGTTATCAACTTTTAAAATATATTTATAATTCAATAGCTAATTGAAGGAAACAAATAAAAAATCAGGGATATATTAGTCACTTAGTGACTCACTATGTAAAATTACAAAGAATTAAAGGGTTATATTAGTACAAGTGATATTAAAATACCTAACTTACATAAATAATATTTATGGAATGTCCGAACCTAGATTATTAATTATTAATATATCAATATTATTTGTCCAAACCTAATTACGAAGCATGATTATTCGCCAAGTAGGATTTCGAAGCACCAGAAGCAGCCACGTAGGCTCAGCGCATTCGGGAATTATATATAGGAGGGATAATTTATTTTCAATCCAAAAATAATTAAGTCCATATTATCTATAAATATGTTGGTTATTTATGATCATGATACAATGTATTAATTGTACTTTAATATCATTTCTTATTTATAACTATTGAATAGTAAATGTATTTTAAAAGTTAATAACTTTTGTATTTTTATCACTTTTACATATATAATATATCAAATTAATCATCTCTTGATGAACTTCGATATAACATTTATATTTAAAAAAAAGTATATTTATCTTTATAACAATAATAAAACTATTTTTTAATATTAATTAGAGATATAAAATATTTATCAATTAATATATTTATATTTCAAGTAGTTATATGATATAAGTAAAAAAAAAATGACTATAATATAACACATGTAAGTCACACAAGTGTGTCATACTAAGCTATATAATAATATATATTTTTTGTAAAAAGTAAATAAAATTTTAAATAATTTTTTCCTCAATTTTAAAATTTAACAAGCACATGTGTAATGCACGGGTGTTGTACTGATTTTAAAACATAACATTTTATTCTATTTATTTTAATTTTTTTTGATGATTGATATTAGACATGTATTTGTGATGTCTTCATGAACAAATGTCATTTATCTAATATAACATAACATGAATTGAAATATGAATTTACAATCAAGAACCAAGCTAATAAAATCTTAGCAAAATACTAATCTATTCAACAATTGTTAAGAATATATGATATTAACAATGAAAAACCGAAGCACTGTTCCAAACTAATTACGTTCAATTTCTGAAGTATATTTTTCATGTATCATTTTGTAAAGAAATTAATGTGGTGATATAATTTACCAAATTTGAGACAACCACAATTAAAATGTTTTTTGTGCATTACATGCAATATTCCATGTAAATATTGGGAAAAATTAAATTGATTTCTATTTCAATACGTAATAAACACCTCTGTGGGGTCTTTCGGGCACATGGATGATCATTTTTTTTTTGTGAAGAAATTTAGAATGATATACAAAGTTGTGATTAGAATTAAATTTACATAAAGTTGTAACATTGAACCTCTTACATAAAGTTGTAACATTAATTGTAACATTGATCATTTTTGTGTATTTTGATTAAGTAGCTGGCTTATGTTGTTTCTTTTCTAGTTTTTTGGCCAAGGGGCTGTGGAAGAAGTGGCAAGGTTTAGGCTATTTCTGTGTTGTATTGCTATCTGTGGATAGTTCGACTTGTAATCGAATTTGAGTTTGAATGAAATTTGTTGACGTTGGAAAAAAAAAATACCTCTTTCAACGCACTGTTCTAAAAGTCTGCCTAGGTGGAGTATGGCTGCCTCCGATTCGCACAAATCGACCGAAAAAATTAGCCAGGCGATTAGGCGTCGCTTAGGCGGACTTGGCGGGCTCGGCGGCCAAACGGATCTAGGCGGGCTCGATGGCATTTTTTTAATATTTTTTTAAATACTAAGTACATTATTTTGTATTCATGTTTTCTTTAAAATATATTAATATTATTATTCAGACTTAGATGTGTGGATTTATTATAAGTTGATATAGTTTATTCTATATAGTTAAAATATAAGATATTTAATATTGATGTTGAAAGTTCCACGCAAGTCTCCCAACTACCATTAGCACAGAAAGGAAGAAGATACAATGGCTAGCTAATGAAGGTTGCATGCATGTCATCAATGGTGTGCCTTCTTGCATCTATAAATAGAGTGCTTATATATTTCATTCATTTGAATCTTCCAATAGTATGATCAATCAACCTTGAGAGTGTTAAAACACAACCAAGAAAGAGTTGTGGAGTGTTTGAGAGTTTTTTGTTTAGAGTTTGTAAATCTCTTGTTTTTATTCTTGTGAGTAATAGAAAGTTGTTTTTCTCTCAAATTATGTTTATGATCTTGGGATGATACCACAACAAGTGGTATGTGTTGTGGTATCAGAGCTTGGTTTGAAGCTTTCGAGCTTATTTTCGAAATTTTTCGAGACTGTAGAAATTTTGAGTTTCTGCGCTGTGCTCGAAATTCAATTTCGAGGACACCGTTAGATTCGTCTCGTCGAAACGGTCGTGGTGATATCTTACGGGCGAAAAACGGACATCGGAGCTGTCCCGAAAAGCCTTCTGAAGTTCTGAAAAAAAAAAAAAATCTAGTGAAGAAGATGATGACGTGTCGCCACATCATCTGACACGTCAGCAAAGGAAGCACAGTCATCTGCCATGTCAACAGCCTAGTAACCTGCCACAGCAACAGCCCAGTCACCTTCCACGTCAGCAGGTGGAGCCCAGTTAACCGCCACGTCATCAGTTGACTGCCACGTCATCACCGTAAAAAAAAAAACCTCCCCTCCATTTTCAACTGTTCCGGACGCAACAGTGCTGTCTATTTTTCAAAATTCAGCTCCGATTGGTCCCAAGCAGATCATTGAAGGTGTAAAATGGCCATGGAAGAGTCAACTTCATTTTCTGGAGCTATGATTATGCTCACGGCTACCAACTATACACTTTGGAAACCTCGGATGGAATATTTCCTCAGCTTTAAAGAGCTCTTTGACCCAATAGAGCTGAAGGGTATTAACCCTGATCCGTCCAAGGCGTTAGAATGGAAGAAAATCAATAGAAAAACTATTGGTCAAATCCGACAATGGAT